CTTTGGAAATATAAGAACCAAAATGGGTACAGAAGAAAGAGTCAGAAGACCTGGGTTCAAATCCCACTCCTGACTTTTACTACTTGCATGATCTTGAAAAAAATCACCACCTTCCAAAACCCAAGTTTCCTCATCTATAAAGTGAGAGAGTTGGCCTGGGTACCTTACAAAGTTCCTCCCAACTTTAGTTCTGTAGTCCTCAGAACATTTACATCAGTGTCTATTAGAAATCTTTAGCTATTTATGCCAAAGAAAACTCATATTAATGATTAGTTTCCTTCAAAGTGTCAGTTCTTAGCACCAATCAAGACTAGGACTTTGGTTTTGGAGAAGTTATTTTACTTTTCCATATCTTAGCTTCTTTTCAACAGAAGGGATGTGATAATACCAAACTGAGTGCAAATATTTTGATTAATATAAGATTTTAAAATACCTTGGAAAAATTTAATGATATATTCAAAATTCTATATTTTCCCTCACAGAATAAAGTTATATGTTTTTATACAGCATTAGAATTGAGGGAAAAATTCTCTTAGAGATTTTCTTTGATGTGGCTTTGATAATGGCATATTCAAACTTGCAGGTGACATAAAGTTTAGAGAGAAAGCTAACAAACTAGAACACAGCTAAGATTCAAAGAATTTAACAGGTAAGATCATCAGACTAAGTTTAATAAGATGAATTTAATAGGGTTGAACATAAAACCTAACACAGATTCAGAAAGTCAACCTTATATAAACAGTGTGGGAGAGATGTGTCCAGACAGCAATTTGTCAGAAGAGATCTGGAGGAATTTGTTGCACAATAAATTCAGCATGAGTCGATAGTGTCATAGGTCAACTGAGAAATTCAATTCAATCTTAGCTCTATTTAGAGAGCCACAATGTCTAAGACAAAGGACACAAATGTCATTGTGTTTTGCCCTGCTCATAAAACATCTGGCATACTGTGTTCAGTGATGGGCGCAATACTTTGAAAGGTTACTGAAAAATTACACAGTGTCCTAAGGAGGGCAATCAGATGGTGAGAGGCCTCAAGTTCATACCACATAAAGATATGGTGAATCAAATGGGGATGTTTACCCTAGAGAAGACATGAACCATTACATAGCTGTCTTCAAAAATTTGAAGAGTTACCACGTAGAAGAAAGAGTAGACTTATTCACCTTACTACAGAGGGTAGAACCAGGAACAATTAGCAGACAAATTTAGGCTTAGGGTAAGGAAAACTTTCTGAAATTTAAAGATGTCCCAAAGCAGAATGGACAGCCTAGAAAGGTAGTGGATTCCCCCGAAAGGGGAATCTTTAAGCAAGAATGGGGGACTACTTGTCAGGGATGATGTAGAAGAGCTCCTTCTTTAGGTATAGGTTGGACTACTTTCCTCTGAGGTTGTTTCCAACTCTGAGATTCTGTGATTGTTCCATGTAAAATCATATGGTTATAATAATTGAGAATGCATTTTGACTTGACATAACTTCCAATTTGAAAATCTCTTATAATTTTGTAACCTCTAGAGAACTTTTAGAATGTACATGGCTGTATTTTTAAGGACAATAAGAGAAAATCAGAAATTTCCAGTCTGCTCAGACTGTTTGAAAGCACAGGAAATAGCTTGACTGCTGGCCACTGAAACTACATGGACTTCCCCAGAGATAAGATGTTCTGGGAGTGGGACCTTGAGTTGAAGAACAGCAAGATTATAGGGCTTGGAGCAAAATATTATTCCACGGGTCCCTACAAGTCATGTTATCACACACTGAGTATTGGCTATTGGGCATTGTACCAAGATGGACAAGAAGAGTGTGGGATGGAGGAAATAATTATTTGAAGGAAGTTAAAAATCCGTATGGAGGTATATCTGTACTGTTCACTACAAAGTGAATTGAATCAGAGTGGTAATTTTTCAATGTTGTAGAGATTACAAGCCTAGAATTAGAATAGCCTTTTCTTTTAACCTTACTTTTAAAAAAATAATATTTTATTTCCCCAATTACATGTAAAGCAATTTTTAGCATTCATTTAAAAAATGAGTTCCAAAATGTTCTCTCTTCCTCCCTTAACCTTACATTTCTCTCTCTCTTTCTCTCTTTCTCTCTCTTTCTCTCTCTCTCTCTCTCTCTCTCTCTCTCTCTCTCTCTCTCTCTCTCACTCTCTCTCCAGGCAGCTGGGTGGCACAGTGGATAAAGTTCTGGGCCTAGAGTCAGGAAGACCTGAGATCAATTCCAGCCTCAGATACTTACTAGCTGTGTGACCCTGGACAAGTCCCTTAACTTCTGTTTACTTCTGTTTCCTCAACTGTAAAATGGGAATAATAGCATCTATCTCATAGGTTGTTGTGAGGTGAAATAATACTTGTAGAAGCACTTAACATGGTACTTGGCATGTATTAGATACTACATAAATGCTTAGTCCCTTCCCCTTCCCTTTTTAGACCACCAGCAATAGATGGGCTGATCTTTTGATCCTGTCCATAGCAAACAGGAAGATTTAGTTCCTTTGGAATCAAGGTTTCAAGTGACATCATAGACCTATGGACTGACTGAAAGAATTGAGAAGTTACCTAGGCTAGTTCCTTCAAAAGAGGCGCCAGGGTCTGCCTCAAATAACCACAACTTCATGTCAGAGGACAATAACAACTCTTGTTTATTTCCATTGAAAATACATGGTGTCTGTCAAAATGTTCAAACAAGAATCAGAGAGATATCGTGTCAACATGAACTTTTACCAAGAAACCTCATGAACCATAAGTCAGGAACCTACTGAAAATCTAATTTCTGCCAGGAAAAAAAAACACAACTTAATTTAAAACAATTACCAAATTGTTTTTTTTAACAATTTTTATTTCTTAAAACTTCCACAAAAATCCTACACAAAAGTCCCAAGTTATGGTATAGAAGTATCTTTGGATTCTTCAAGGATATGTAAATTGAATATTAGCTCTGGCAATTTCTATCAGGTAAGAAAAGCTAGCATCATTCTAGGGACGGGGTGTGACTGCTGTCTGAGGATTAGTCTAGCTATACACAAAGTACCTTCTTTGTACTAGGCTGGTGAGGAGCTCTTTGATCATGTAATTTGTGAAACATAGAAAAATATAAAGTTTATACTTCTTATTAGCAGAATAGTGGAAGAGGGAGTGAAGGATGCTAAGAACCATGAAAAATTTAGATCATCTGCTTGTGTTATAAATATGAAGTCCTTGTTCAATGACTGCTAAATGAGCTGAGCAATAGAGTAACTGAATCACATTAGTTTCACATTAAGAGTCTATGCAGCAGGTCTGGGGCACTATCTGTTTTATACTTAGCCATGCACTTTTGACCAGTTGTGGGAGAAACTTGTCTCTAATTACAATAGTTAGCATTTATATAGCATCTTAAGGTTTGAAAATCGCTTGATAAATAATTTGTTTTTATTCTTCCAACAACCCTGATAGGTAAATGATATTATTATTCTCATTTTACAGATAAGGAAACTGAGACAGGTAAAAGGTAAGTGACTTGTCTAGGGTCAAACACCTGGTAGGAGTCTAAAGCTGCAATTGAACTCAGGTCTACCTAGAATCCATGTAAATGTTCTATCCACTGTGTCACCTTGCTTCTCTATAATTAGGATAATTAGGTTCCTCTTTCTCACATCCCCAACCCCTTATCCTAGGGACTATTTTAATTATAGTAAATTATATCTGACTCATATTTAGGGACTTTCCCAAAGCCAAAGGGAGTAAGATAGTCAATATATAATGTGAATCAAACATTGAATGAGCAATTTATTCCTGCACATATAAGAAAGGCTAAATGCAAAGGACTTACCAATGTTCATTAACAGAACCAGATCCAGTGACTTAGCGTAACATCCAGTACAATCTCCTGGGTGTATGATCCTTGTACTTTATTAAATCATAAAGCAGTTTTTGGAATTACTGATGAGGGATTTTCCATTTCATCTTGGTTCTGCACCATTGCCTTAGTCCTAATCATGCTCAGTTGTTTCCATAGTCAGCTGCTTCTGCATCTGCTTCTACTTTAACTAGCTGCTCTATCTAGTTTCTCTGTTGTCTTTGCCATCTCCAGCATCCTGGTGGCTACCTCCGCCCCCTGGAAGCCTGAGGGAGAAGAGGCCTCTACATAATGTGTCTCCATGGCCCATGACTAATGTGTCCATAGGATCACTCTTTATAGTGTGGCTCCCTGGCCTAGTTCTGTTACAAAGAAGTCAACTTCCTGTGCTTTTTAAAAGCTCTGCACCATACAAATATTCATAATAATCCTATAACTTTACTGCTCTTGTTATTTCCTACTGACCTCTTTTTGTTCCTTAGAGTGTGCAGGGCCTGATAGAAATGAGGAAAGCTCCAAGAAAAGATCTACCCATGTATGTTGGATGGGGAACAAATGAGGTATAAAATAGGAGATCTAGCCCAAGGTGTTTCTTATTTTTAGAAATGGGGTTCAGACACTCCTTGGTAGAGTTATGGAGGTAAGGGCGAGCTGTCGCACCCCACTGCTTCCCTAGTTGCAAACCGTCAGAGTTCTGCTCTCCTTTAAGAACCGAAACTTAAACTGAAGTGAGCAAAGGGAACGTTTATTTAAGGTTCTTGCAAGAAGCGAGTGTGTGAAGTACCCCAACAGGACACACACACCGGCAGAAGCCAGAGCAAGCCCTTTATGCAGTTAGTTCCTTCTTGTCCCTCCTTTCAGAGCTGGGATTGGTCCCAGCTCTTCCCAGTTACAATTTTCCTGATATTCCCATTTCATATTACTCCTTAACATGTTTTTCCCTCCTGTTAACATGTGCTATTGTTCCCCTCTGGGCAGAGATGTTACTATTAATGAGCCCATTACTCATGCTTAAGTAAAGCTTAACTTAACCTTTGTCCTACTTCCTGCCTCCTTCACCAAACAACCAGTTTCATCCACTTTTAGCCAGTTCTCGAACCTCTGACCTAGAACTACGTTTTCTTTCGTTTTCCTTATATGGAAATATAATCATGTCTTACCTCTCCAATTACTATCACGGAGAATGTCCGGCTTAACATCCAAGGGGAAGAAGAATTCCTTACAGATGGGAAGGTCCTTTCCACATACTTCTGTTTTCAGGTGTATTGGGCTGATTGGATCAAGCTCTGGAACAAGGCAGACCCTCCTAAACAAGACCACAATCACTCAAAAAATTTTGGCACCCAAAGCAAAACCAAATGGGAGAAGCATACCTGCTGAAATTCAGCTGTGTATACAACCTATAGAATTAGCTCATCTGTATATATTTTATGTCATGGCTAAACCCTGAAGGTGACCAATGAGCTAGGTTGAGAATTGAACAAGAGAAAGGGAGGAAGCTGAATTGTACTTGAGAAATTATACTATGCTTTAAGTAACCCTAACCCTCTCTGAAACAAAGGCTTATTTAACAAAACAAAACTAATGAACAAACAAACAAAAAGAAACAATAGTGTACATACAATGATATTGTGTGGCTCTTAATTATGGAATATTTAATCTCTGAAGAATTCAAGTTGAAGGTCACCAAAAGGGCAATGGAGAGGCCTATGGTGGTTTAAAATAGGCAGTAATTAGTCTATTCCCACTGAAGAAGTCTACAACAAAGGCAATAAATTGAGTAACTAGAATAGGAGCTGGACCCATCAATTATTGGGAATGAAGAGCTGGTGGAGTAAATACATGAATGAGAAAAGCATTTTAAGCACCTACTATGTACAAAGCACATGTGCTAAGTACTGAGTAAACAAATAAAATAAAGCAAAATAATAAATAAATAAATAAATAAATAAAATGAAAGTAAAAACAAATAGAAAAAATTAGCCAGTCCTTGCTCAGATTCTAATAGTCAGAGACAACATACATAGGAAAAGTCAGCTATAAGTCAAATGGCAAAGCCCCAGGGTTCATAGGGTGTAAGGGTACAACAATGGTAATGCATCTTCTTAAATGTAATTTCCATTGACAAAACCATATCTGTTTCTGACTGTACCATTTAAGGGTACCAAAGACTTTGGTAGTGATGACTCTTTTGATCTGGGTCTTGAGTAGTTGTGGCTCTGAGGAGGCAGGGGTTCCAGCACTTGCAGAGGCAGCTGCCCCCTTGAATCTCCACTAAGGTTACTTCCCTGGATGACAGCTTTGTGGGTCTCTAGGAAGCAGGTCTGGTGGGGGAGGTGAGAAGGTATTATTCTTCCTGAGGCTTTGGGACATAGATTTCTGGGTTCCTTCCATGGGGTCAGAGTGCTCTGCACATAGTAGGCACTTAATAAATGTATGCTAAATTGAAAGGAAGGCCTATTAGATCAGTATTCAGTCTCTAAGTAATACATTTTGAAATTGTCATAGTATAGATGTTTTCTCTCTTTATGTTGTAATGACTTTCAGAAACTAGGTTTTATTTTTTAAATCACTGATTTTTTTGATAAATGAATATACATCTAGTTATCACAACTTGAAATAATGGTGACTTGAGCAGAGGAGTGTCATGATATCACCTTCTGGATGTTATGTTCCTCTTTGAAAATGGAAAAATAACAATAACAGCAACAACAACTCATTCATAATTGTTATTAGCAAACCTAGTGAACTATTACCTAAAGTGCCCCCTGGAATATGGTAAGCTATTCATTGTTTATGTGTTTTCAAAATACCTAACTCAATATCAATGAATGGCTTAAGTATTAGAAGAATTAAATTTTGTTGTTATAGGGCAACACACACTGGTTTTTAAATTGATATACTAAGTTCCCACAAAAAAATTTTATTGAAGGCCTGAGTCTCATTCCGCATTCTAAACACATTCTTCCTATCTCTTTTACCTACAGAACTCTCATCAGCTATTGAAAAGCAAACTCAGGAAAACGTGTACCAGGGATGAGAAGGTCTTCCTAGTTTTATTGAAAAACAAAAAGGATGAAGGGAAAATTAATTCAAAATATAATGTTGTAAGTATATGGCATACAAGAAGGACATATCCAAGCTGTAAATGGCAGTGTCATATTCATGACCATTGTTAACATTAGTTTCAGTGTTTGCATATTTTTAGATTAAAAAGAAGAAAAATAAAAGCAAAGGTAAAGCATAATGATAGATACAAATGAAATGACGAGAAATTGAAAGAGAAAGGAATTGCTTCTGATGGTAGTGATGCAGAAGAGAGACATCTTCAGGACAGAGGAGGACATAAGACAAATATGGAATATAAATTATTTTGGCAACAAGAATATAAACCAGATTTCCCAAATCACATAGCCTGCTTTAGTGAGGCTTAGAATGGCACTTCCGCAATGAATGCAACAAGATTAATTATCTAAAAATGTCAGTGTTAATTAAAGTCCTTCTGTGGGGCTTCTTCATTATCTGAAGGTGACCCTGATATTTTGAAGGTTGTGGTGGTAAAACAGCTTTGAAGTTTAAGGTCTGAGTCTAGTGATGGGACCAGAAAATGATTTTTTTTGGCCACAGCACATGAAATTGTCAACTAATACATGGGGGAATTAAGTTATGCTTTGGTGTAGAGAGTATCTTTACCAATAAAATCATGGATCTCTTAAAATATTAAAATAATTCAGCCTGGTATTAGTCATAGTCTTCAAATTGACATAAAAAACACTATCTTCATCAGTGCCAACCATAAACAAGGCCATTTACCGTAGTAAAAACCTTTTCACAGTAAGCTTTCCATATTATTTTTGAACTTATATTTTGCTCCATTATATAAACATTTCCTTTTGTTTTCTTGCTTGTAGTACATGTTTGGTCTCTCACTGATTAGAAACTACCAGTGAAGAAAAGGTTGATATTTTAAGGTCTATTGCTGTTTTTGAGGTTTGAGTAAATCTGGACCCAACTGGACACTACTATAATTTGGGCACTCTGTGGAATAGTTAATTCCTTGCCTGAATTCTCCCTATAATTCTGAAACCAGTGGACCTTCTAATTTAAAATACACAATAGTATGTAAAAGTATAGTTCTGTTGTTGACATCGGATTTAAAATGGCTTAATGAAATGCATCCAGAGGAAAAAAAGGTGAGCTCTGGTGATGTGAAGTTTATATAGGGATTTTATGAAGTAATATGGATAATTTTCTCTATGCTTAAAACAATGGGAGGTGTCAGTTCTTCCTTTGGGGCTACTTTTTGCTAGGTACACTTGTGCTAAGGTATCTGGATAATGTTTGTAGTGCAAATGCTCAGGACTCCCAGGAAGTTTCCTTCTCTTCCCCTCCCCCTTCACTACCCTTTCCTTCCTTCACTATCCTGGATCAGAAGTGAAATTGACTTGTCCAAGACACATGTTACACAACTAAGATGAATGAACTGAACCATATCACAGATGTGGTTCACATTAGAGTTACAGTCTTTGTCCTTTCCCTATCTCATTATATAATAATAACTCACATTTTCATACTGTTACAATTTACAAAGCACTTTCATCACAATAAAGTATCTGTCTCTGAGGCAGTTAGTGCAAATAGTATTACAATTCTTCTTTCTCTGATGAATCAACAAAGTCACATGGCTCTAAGTGATAGAGCTAGGCTCCAACCCAGGTCTTCTAACATCACATCCAGTGGTCTTTTTTACTATAAACTGCCCCTCCTATACTTAATAGAATGATAGTCTTTTTTTTTTAATAGAACACATAACTTTTGAATTTTAGTGTAAAATGCAAGGGGACTTTCTAGGTATGGGTTGGAAAACTGTGTTTCATAATTTGTGGGTAGGTTTAACTTATGAATAAGAATTATGAATAAGAATGCCATATTATGCAAAGATTTATTGACTCCACTAATTAATTCCTTTACATGTTTCTTTCCCATGAAATCGGCATAGTTAGAATCTCCACAGGTACATATCGATTCATATTCTTTCCCTCTTATTTTGCAGATATTTACCACTGAAATAATCAGGTGGCAGAGAGATATTGCAAAGGGAGAGAAATGCCAGAGTAGATGTGGAATATTGAGAGGCAACAAGGTACAGTGGAAAGTTTGAGACCAAGTTCCAGGAGACCCTTGGATTTTAATGTGGCCAAAAATGCTAACTTAGGGATCATGAAAGAATCATTTAACTTTGGTTTCCCTGTCTATAAAATCAGAATAATAAATTTGATGAAGAAAGTGTTTTATAAGCTTTAAACTATTTGGCAAATGTGAGCTATTATTAGTAAAGCTAGAATTTTAGGAAAGATGGCATTGTGGACTGTCAGCCTCAAAATGACGGCTTTTCAGACAGCACTGACTTAGGAGGGTAATGTTGCCAAATTGAAGAATAATAGGAAAAGATCAAGTTAATAAGATTTTTGTCTTTATTAAGCAGAGAATAAATAAATAATTCCCAGGGGAAGTTTTTGGATTCATTAAAAAATATCACCTAGGAATCAAAGCAAAAGTAGTTAGTTAGGCATGAACAGATTTTAGTAAGAGAAGAGCTATTAAAGGTTTCACTTCCTTCTCTCATCCTCTCCAGCACAAAACAATTTTTAAATCAAAAAAGTAAAATGACACTAAAAGAGATATCAGTTCAAAACTGAGGAGAAGTTTAAGTTGGGAATATCTGAATGTCTCCCTTCAATATCACAATAGTGTTAGATACTAAAAAAAGCATCTAGTAGCTCCTGAAACTAAAAGGACCTGCCATGAGAACATAGAGTGATACTTGCAAAGTTCAGTGAGGAGATGGTGAAGTAGGCTGCTCTTGATGCATATGACCTTGAAGGTTCCTTGCAGTATTAAAATTCTAGGGTTTTAGAATCCAGCAATAAACAAGTGAGAGTTCCAGTGTACTCTGCCCTATTCTGATACATTAGGAGTATTGTGTTCATTTCTGGGCATGACATTTTTAAAAGGATCTTGGTAAGTTTAAGGTTATCCAGAGGGCAGTAATCAAGATGGTTAAAGGTCTCAGGTCCCTGCCATGTGAGAATTGTATGAAGCAATTGGAAATATTTGGACTGGAGAAGAGAAGACTGTCAAGGTTTGGGAGGCAGGTATGACAACGATTGTCAAATATATGAAGGGTGGTTACGTGGTTGAGAGATTAAACTTGCTCTGCTTCGACTCAGAGGGAAGAACTTGGAGCATTGGCTGGAAGCTATGATAAGCTTTATTCAGCATTGATACAAAAAAAAATCCTCAAAA